GATTTATTATATTGGCTCGTCTTGCGACTTGTTCTTTCTCTACCTCCCCTTTTTAGCTAACTTATTTGTTTGGTCTTTCTTTTCTTTTTACTTTTTTATTCTTATTTTCTTTTCTTTTCTAAACTACACTTAATAAAACGTTTACAATAGAGTGATTAAAATGACAGACTATTTACAACTTTAAAAACTAAGAGAAAAACATTTAACTAAAATCGCTTAAAAATAAATTAATCAAGCTATTTACATGTTAAATACTAGTTAAAAAAAAACACAAAAAAAACACGTGTAAATTTTAAACAAGTTCCCCTCCCCCCAAAATAATTATCCTTACCGGAAGGAATTCGTTTAAAAACTAATAGAAATAACTAAAATTCCTCAAAATAAATGATCGAGATATTTACATGTCGAATAATAGTTGAAAGAAAAAATAGCGTGTAAATTTAGCTAAAATAAGTTACTCCAAAAAAAAAAAATTATCCATGAAGGAAACCGAAAAAAAAAATTAAAATTCCGTTTAAAGAAAAGGAAAGATTACTTGTAAGAATGTTTTTGTAATAAAATAAATCTACTCGGAAGACCAGTAAGACGCAAAAATGAAGTCATTGCATATGAGACTGAATGCAAATCGAAAGATTGATTCTCGCAAGTTTCTCGTCATCTATATACACAAATTTAACACACACACATATATATATATATATATATATACTAATCAGCCTTAAAAGAATTTTCTGCCTGCATTTATGGCGTATGTACATCTGTATTGGGAACGTCCTTATTTTTTTGTAGTTTTGGGCCACGCATTAGCCCTATTTATCCACAAACATCTGGTGGCCTTTTCGACGGACTATATGATCATTTGAATCGCCCGCCTTCTTTTTTGTCCAGTTATCCCGAGGCTAGTAAGGGCTCGCATCATTGACTGTCCGGCGAACCCCCTACAGCCGATCTCGACAGGGAAACAGTGAGTGTGCCATCCTTTAGTTCTGCAATCATTTAAGAGTCCTTCGTATTTACTATACTTTCTCTCAAATGCCTCTTGCATATGCTCCTCCCATGGGGCAGTTAACTCCAGCAAAATAATCTGTTTTGTGGCGTCCGAATAAACGATTATGTCTGGAGGACGATATATGTGTTGGGAATTTCAATTGTTTCCCGAGATCGACTCGCATTTGCCAATCCGACGCGGATGATAACAGTGACTGGGATCCTGCAACCTTCTTACTCGGCTTTGCACCTGCTCTAACGAAGCGGATAGCTCTTCGTTCTGGGATGAGTTTATTACTCTGTAAAGCTTCAGTAATAATGAGTGCTATCGCCTCTAAAACCTTGTCATGACGCCACCGTCTGTCAGAGCTGTTCTGCACCCGCTTAATATGTGTTGCAGAGATCCCCTCCCCGAACACAAGGGGCACTTTGGTGAATCTATTTTCCCCCATAGGTGTAGGTTGGTCGCGCTTGGTAATACGTCGTACACCATCTGAACCAGGAATCTAGATCGGCTGAAGTCGGTATTCCAAAGATCTGACCACGACACTTTCCGCCGATCTACACCATCCCACCTGGTCCACGCGCCCTGCTGGCTATAACCTGCCATTTTTGTCATCCGCTTTTCCTCCATCCCTGCTCTTACTTCGTCCTGTATCAGGTGTTTTAAAAAAATAAAAAAATATATATCCATATATTTGCTTACATACTGTCTACAAACCTGAATTTACTTTATAACATGGAAGACTTCAAGCTTGTACGAAAATATAAGAATCTATTAATCAAGTAAGGAAAGGATTTATTTACGAACTGTTTTAAAATTGTTCCATCGAGCCTGTCTGATATTTTGAAATCATTTTTGATTTGTTTTGTAGCGTGGAGGACTTCAAGCTTGTATGAAGATATAAGAACCTATTGATCTCTACGTATTCCTGTATCAACGGAAGGGATTTCTTGAACTATTTATATAAAATAGTTCAATCGACTTTTTTAATATTTTAATATTTGGAAATCATCTTCGAATACGTTTTCACAACATCGCCCACGTGACGAAGACGTGATCATATTTAAACGGAACGCTGATCTTATATAAAAATTTCAGTTATCTGTTTGGATTAGTTGTGCTCTTATGTCCATCGTCTTTTTCATGTTGAATTTTATATATTCTAATGTTAATTATGTTTTATGAATATGTCCTGATGATGGTCTAAAATAGACCGAAACGTCCGACGTTAACATTAATACAGCATAATTACATATTAAGATTTTTGTTTGTTTTTCTGTATATTTTTCTTCATATATATGTATGTATATATATATATATATATATATATATATATATATATATATATATATATATATATATATATATCAGGCTATTGCAACGGCAATTTCAAATTCAAAGATATAAAATCATAAATGTTCATGTTTAAATAGAATTCCTTATTAGCATCGAGCCTCCATCATTACCAATAGCAAGCATCTCAGTACGTTTAGCGTTTTCATCTTGTACGGAAAGAGAGAGAGAGAGAGAGAGAGAGAGAGAGAAAGAGAGAGAGAGAGAGTGAGAGAGAGTGAATGAGAGAGAAAGAGGATGAATGAGAGAGAGAAAAAGAGAGAGAAAGATTGTGAGAGTGTGTGAATGAGAGAAAGAAACAGAGAAAGAGAGAGAGAGAGAAAGAGAGAAAGATTGTGAGAGTGAGTGAGAGAGAATGAGTGAGAGAAAGAGTGTGAGAGAGAGTGAATGAGAGAGAGAGAAAGAGAGATAAAGAAAAAGAGAGTGAAAGAGAAAGAGTGAAAGAGAAAGAGAGTGAGTGAGAGAGAAAGAGAGTGAGAGAGGATGAATGAGAGAGAGAAAAAGAGAGAGAAAGATTGTGAGAGTGTGTGAATGAGAGAAAGAAACAGAGAGAAAGAGAGAGAGAAAGAGAGAGAAAGATTGTGAGAGTGAGAATTAGTGAGAGAAAGAGTGTGAGAGAGAGTGAATGAGAGAGAGAGAAAGAGAGATAAAGAAAAAGAGAGTGAAAGAGAAAGAGTGAAAGAGAAAGAGAGTGAGTGAGAGAGAAAGAGAGTGAAAGAGAAAGAGAGTGAGTGAGAGAGAGAGAGTGGTGGGGAGAGAGAAAGTATTTCTATCCACTTTATTGTCTCTATATGTAATGTAATGGAGTGTCGTCAGGTCAAGTGATATCTGGAGAATAATGTGGTGTGGTGGTTTTTCTTTTCAATGCGAAGTCTACACTCTCTTGCGATATTATTATTTATTATGAAAGAACATCTTTTTCGACCTGAGCCTCCATTTCACAGTCGGCTCACAAGGAGACATTTAGCGCTTTTTTTTTAAAAGTAATATCTAATTTCTGTGAGAGAATTGGTCGGAAGCACATACACACACACACACACGCACACAAAACCCAATAAAAAAAACCCCAAAAAACTATATACAATTCTGATGGGCCAATAGGCAAAGCAGTTCCGCAATTATCTCTGTTCCTCAATCTCCAGTACGCAACTCCTCAGAAACAAGATTTCTTTTGAATGAGCGAACCGTGCTTTTATTCACCTGATTTAACCATCACCCAGCCAATTGGCGCCCAGAAGCAGCCAATAAAAATCGCTACAAGCGACACCACCGCTTCCATCCCCATTGTGCTGATCGATTCACTTTCAGTCCGAGTCTCGCTAATTCGTCGTCTCCACACTCCATTGCAAAACTTAAAAACTACTTAGGTCCTTCTGGGTCACCGAGGTAAGTCTCCACCTCACTTCTGAGACACTTAGAGAAATTAGAACTCACAGACGAATGGTAGATTTATAAAAGAGAAGATGAATTCTGACGAGAAAACTTGTCCAGAACGACACATGAACCAACTTTCCTAGCAGCAGATCTAGCAATTGATTCAATAGAAACAATCTACATCATGTCAGTGGAAATGTAGAACCAAAAAGGTTTGATGTGATGGCCAGCTGAAGGCATGCAGATGGCAGGTAAAAATGGTTCACCATGATGATTAATAGATACAAGTATTATTTACAGACCATTCTTTAAATTTTGTCACAAATCTCGTGATATATTGACGGAAGAGAAAAGCAGATATGGCAGCAGGATTCAATGAACGGCCGAATGGTAGGTTAATATATATTCAATTTTCTCTCACGACACTCTGTGTCAACTTTCCTAGCGGTAAGCGTAGCAATTAATTAAATATAGTCACTACATGAGCCGCCCCTCCCGACAAAAAAAAAATCATAGACATACTCTTCTGGAGGTTAGGCTTCAGCTATGGTGATGGCAGGCAATAAATGTTCTCGATGGTAATTAAATGAAAGCAGTTTTGTTTTGGAGTCTTTAAAATTTTCAAACCATACGTGGCACTACTTAAAAACTGATTGGAGGTAATTGTCGGACGCATCTGCCTCTGTAAGCTTGTTCAGCCCGACGGATTTACTACTAACACAGGATAAAATTGTTGTCTCATCAGCATAAATATCAAGTTAATAAAGGATTGGAATATAATTTTATGTCATCAACATAAATATTTAGTGAATAAAGTTATTTCGTTTATAAAGATAAGGAAATATTGAAATTTATATGCCATTACTTGCCCCAGTTAACAAGCGATTGGAATTCATTATCGAATTTTATGTCATCAACATAAATATTTAGTGAATAAAGTTATTTCGTTTATAAAGATAAGGGAATATTAAACTTTATATGCCATTACTTGCCCCAGTTAACAAGCGATTGGAATTCATTTTCGAATTTTATGTCATCAACATAGATATTTAGTGAATAAAGTTATTTCGTTTATAAAGATAAGTAAATATGAATCTTTATAGGCCATTAGTTCCCCCAATTAACAACCGATTGTAAGTCATTTTCAAGAGCAGCTGTCAGCTTTACTTTGTCTGACCTTTTGAACTTAATACTAAGACTGTATTAAAGAGTTGTGTTATCAACATAAATATCTAGTTGATATAAGTCTTTGATAAAGATAAAGAATAGTTGAAATTTATAAGTCATTACTTGCTCCAGTTAAGCGTTTCCTTGCATTCGAATAGAACCATCGTGGCAACAATATCTCTGCTGGGTAATGGTGTTTCAGCTAACATCATCCTGTCAATCTTTTCCAAGCCAGCGTGTTTAGGGCGGCGTTCTGTAGCGGTGAGTGATGACTGTTCTCTTTCAAAAAAATCTGCATAGCTTAAAGGTTTCTGAAAAACTCTTAGGCATTACTTGCTTACAACAATAATGTCTTGGGAACTGGCAGTGATATCAGACACGTTTTTTTTTCCAAAAACGCTTGAGCTAGCTAGGTCACATCAGCCTCGGGACGGACAGCCGTATACGCAAGGATATGTTGTACAGAGAATTGGCAACTGGTTACAGACTTGAAGGACGAGCAGTCTTTCGTTACAAAGATGTTTACAAACGCAACATGGAGGTAGGCGACATCAAGCTAAGCTAAGACATTTGGGAAAGCAACTCAGTGGAACGCAGCAGTTGGATCTTTGTTGTCAAAGTTGATAGTGAGAAAAGACAGGACTTGATCGAAAGAGAGGAGAAAACGCAGATGGCAGAAGGAAGCCTCAGCACCTATAAAGTTAAACTCTGTTTTCACATACCGTAATGGCAACAGATACTGGAGTTTCAATATCGTGTTTCACACCTACAGCAGACGCTGAAACTCAACATGAGGCTAGACCAACACTTGGTACATACTCCAGTATCTCACGAGATAGAAGAGTTTCAAGAAATAAGACAAAATAAACACACACACACAAATACAGGGCTATGGTCTCTTTGGCAGAATATTTTGACTTAACAAATCGATTAACGAATGACGTATTAAAAAGCAAATATTCTAGATCATTTCACATTAATGTAAGTGTCTCTCAGAGGTTTATTCTTGGATCCACGTTGTTTCTTATCTTCATCAATGACCTTCCGATGTCTTCAGTTGTCAACTAGTTACTCCTGTCGTAGTAGTAAGTCCGATAGGACAGACAAAGTAAAACTGACAGCTGCTCTCGAAAATTAATTCCAATCAGTTGTTAATGGGGCAAGTAATGGCTTATAAATATATTAATTAACTGACTCTTTGAACTTTGTTCTTTTATTGTCCTCTCTGTACCGTTCACGCTCAGTAAAAACTTGCATCCGAGTTGCGTTTATTGCCTTACTGTGACTCTTTTTAAATTATTTCATTCAAAACAGGATATAAAGCTATAAAGACATGAGGTTTTACTGGGTGAACAGAACATAAGTAAGGAGCGAGAAGAATAAAAGAAGAGGAATCAAGAAAACAGTAGGTAACGATTGACATTACATTTAGGTTCAAAATAAAGAAACAAGAATGATACTGAATTATAAATTAGCTTTTTATCTGGCTATATGCTTTTCTCTATCTATCTATCTATCTATCTATCTATCTATCTATCTATCTATCTACGGCCCAAGAAGAATTTTAATCGTCTATATCTGACTAAGAATGAGAAACGTCATTGCTGGAGGATCGGACAGGTAAAATTCCATCGATTTGTCTTGCGACACGTCTTCCAACCACTTCATATGTATCTATCTATCTACAGAAAAAGATTTATGCATGTGTTATTGACGAAAATTATTGCAGGAGAAAGGTATCTAACTCAAAAGCGCATGGCACAGTGGATAACGGCGTTAGATTTAGTGACAGGACCCAAAGAGTGTGAGTTCAGTACCTGGTTAAGGCAGAAGAGAAGAGAATTAAAAGGAGATAACTGACATCCATTAGACATGGCATGTGGAACTAGAACAGTCTACTCCAGCGAGCGAAATAATGATAATAATTCCAACCACCTGAAGAAGGCCGGAGCATACAACGGCTGAAACGTTGTGATAAATATGGCAACAAAGATGAGGTTCAATAGTGCGATATATATATATATATATATATATATATATATATATATATATATATATATATATATATATATAATTCGTCGAGTCTAGAAGAAACCTCAACAGAATGCAGAAACACTGGACGGCCGTTTCTTTTCTATATTTGGGACTCATCAGCAGTGCGCATCCACTACCGAGAATTGAAACCCGGACAGTTACATTGACAGGCAAACGTCATCCCAACTGTACTAACAGGCCTCAGTGACGAAGAGGTACCGAACTAGACTCGATACAGCGCCGCTCGTTCACATATTCCGTGGTGGAACTCATCCAAGTTTCCCTTTACCCAAAGGATTGTGCCCCCTAGAGCCACGACTACTATCCCCAAGCCTCTCCAACTAGAACATTAGAAGCCGGTTCAAGCAAGGATATACGAATAATAGAAATTAAGGAGGATTTGAGATAATTAAGTAATTCACCGTGTCTAGAAGAAACCTCAACAGAATGCAGAAATCACTGGACGGCCGTTTCGTCCTATATTTCGGACTCATCAGCAGTGCGCATCCACTACCTACTTTCTCCATTGTGAACTGTATCAAAGGTCTTATTAAGTTTACATGGTCCAGTCGAACCTGAACATCTTCCTGGTGTGTCTAGAGTATGAAGGTGTCATCTACGTATCTTAACCATATAGTTTACTTTAGAGATATAGATTCTAATGCCATTTCCTTAAAGTATTTCATGTATATATTTGCCATTGCTGGTGATAATGGCGAGCGCATTACTAATCCCTCATCCTGTCGATGTACGTGTGATCCCATTCCGAAGTGTGTTGTTTGTGTACAGAAAGTCAACATTTCTATCAGATTATCTATTGGAATACTGGTCCGTTTTTCTAGGGATATGACAAAGGCCAATGTGTCTCTGACTACTAAGAGTGCCTCCTCAGTGGGTACCTTGGTGAACAAACTCCCCACCTCCAAGCTCACCATCTTGTTGGATAGGATGGGTGCACCTTTGATTATTTCCTCGAAGTGGGCGGAGTTTCGGACATATGAAGGAGACTTTTCGATCAACGGGTCAATTATATCTGCAAGGAAACGACTCAGAGGGTGGCACACAGAGCCTTGGCAACTAACAATCGGCATGAGCGGAATGCCGTCTTTGTGGATCTTAGGGAGACCGTATATGTGAGGTAGCTTGGTATAACGCTGCGATAACTGCCTATACGTCTTAGGTGCGAAGTGATCCTTGTTCTTCATTAGGATCTGTGACAGTTTGCGTTCCGTTTTCATTGTAGGATCCTTTTTTACTTTGCTGTAGCTACCATTTCTAATGGGGTCTTCCAGCTTTCTTGTATAATCTGATTTTCCCATCAGTACAGTCTTTGTCAGCCGGTAGTATGATGATGTTTTAGTTCCTTTGCAGGAATCCGATCACCAGCCTCTCCAGTTTTGTTATGTTAGACCTGGGCGGCTTGGCCTTCTCCAAGGTCTGCCTCACCTTCCATCTCAGTTCATCCGCCTAAGCCTGAGGGATGTTCAAGGCCACCTCCTCGACTCTGGTAATGATGTCCAAGTATGGCACTCACCTGATGGTTGTGGCAAAGTTGGGACTCTTATTCAATACTGACACCTCAGAGGCACTCAGCTGATATTGGCGGATGTTGACTACTGCTTTCACTGGTGGGTGATGGACCTTGTGCGTCCCCTTCTGATCTTTCAATCTATTTAATTTTTGTACTTGGCGAGCCTTAACTACATCGAATTCATGTCTGAAGGATTTATCCATGTAATTTTGGATCCTTCTCTGGTTTTCTTCATTAGTAATTCTGTTGAAGAAATCCTCGAGACCCTGGGAGATATGACCTTGTAGTCTCTGTTTTATCCAACGATTGTACTGATATTTCTCTCAGACAAGGGCGTGTCCCGCTTTCTCTGCGACCCGACGAGCTCTCCTTGAATTGACGGGAAGCCTTGGTGCCAAGCCTGAAGAGATGAGCTGTAGGTCTCTGCCATGGTGTAGGAATGTCAGATGGTTCGATATTCGTGCCAGTTTCTGATAGAATTTTTCAATTTGTCTCCATATTTTTTGTTTATTGGTTCAGTACCGATCCTTCAATATCTGTCTATATTTCTGAGATGAGGTATTATGTATTATATGAGCTCTGGTAAAAACATGCAATGATAACAGTAAAAATTGCAATATGATCACCGGTAAAAAACTGTTGCTGAAGACATTATGTTTATAATACCCAGAAATTCAAGGACACATGGTACAGTGGATAAAGGCGTTAGTTAGATCCAGTGACCCAAAGAGTGTGAGTTCAATACCCGGATAAGGTAGTGGGGAAATTTCAGGGGGAAATTAACAGGAGATAACTGATAACTGACACCCATTTAACATGGCACGTGGAACTAGAACAGTCTACCCAAGTGAGCGGAATAAAGGGTTCAGTTCGACATTCCAACCACCTGAAGAAGTCCGGAGCGTACAACGGCCGAAACGTTGTAATAAATATGGCGAGAAAGATGAGGACAATAGTCCGAATAATTTAAATAATGTACATAATACCTCATCTCAGAAATATAGATATATATACTGAATGTGTCAACATTCGAAAGTGCCAGGAAAAAAATTAATACAAAATAAAAATAATTATTAACTTTGGTAAATTTACTGATAATACAAAATACCTTATTCAAAAATTTGAAAAAATTAAGTAATTAGGTTGATATATATATATATATATATATATATATATATATATATATTGAACAATAAAAATTATAAAAAAATTAAAAACTTCAGACACACTGGGTTGTATATTAATATTTCTTCGTTTTTATTATTATTTCATTTGGATTCCTCGACTAGTTTCGGCCAAAATGGCCATCATCAGGAGAAAAAAAATTCTGTTTGCTGGTAGCAGTGAACTACAGAAATGAATGTCTTGATGGTGAAAATGAACTTTTATCTGAAGTTTTCATTTGTTTTTTTATTTTGTTAACATGAATTTTTATCAAACCTTGTGTTGGTCAAACAATCTCTTTTAAGTTGTTATTTAAGATAAGAGCTGGATTGATTCATGCTGCTCTGAATTCCCTTGGTCATTTTGACAGTTTTATTGGTTCCTGGAAAGGGGATGTGTCTCTGTTAAGTGTGTGTGTCTTATTTGGTTCTTAAGGAGTGAGTGAGTATGATCTCTAGATCACACAAATGGCAATGTGGGGCAGGCCGTTTCTGCCTGGTGCTCCGTCTCGGTGGTATGGTCTCAAGCGCTTCCTCAGTGGTGCTCTCTTCAGACGTCTCGCTGAGCTCATCCCGCATAGGTTCATCAGGCGCGCTACTCTCTGAGGTGTGCTCTTCCTTTGATTTTATATATACCATCGGGGCTTCATCAGAAGAAGAAGAGGAACTAACATGGTTGCTGACGGAATAATCCTTCCCGCACGCTGGTCGCACATCTTTTATGTGGCGCGGTATTCTATCAATAGAGACGGAGTATGGGCTATTAATTTGTGTCACCGTACCCTTACTGAACTGTGTCGTACACCTTCCATGCGATATTTCATCCAGACTGTATCTCCTACCGTATAAGGATTGGCAACTGTGTCGTCACGCACCAAAGCTGCGTCGATACCCTTAATTCGGACCCTGTAAGTGTAGGTTGCATTCGCCGGTGCAGTTGAAGCTGTTTTATTGTCCTTTGGGGTAACGTTGTGCCAATATACAGATTCCAAAACTGAACACCGTACGATGGGATCTCTCAACTATCCCATTCCCAGATGGTACGTGGGTACAGCGAAATCGTATTTGTACATTCCACATCTTTGCAAATGCGGCAAACCTCTCTCCACAAAACGCTGTGCCAATATCCGTAAGCAGCTCAACCAGCGGCCCGCTTTCACAAAACACTACTTCCAGCTCCTTTATGATGCTAGCAGAGTCTTGGCGGTGCAAGGGCTTCCAAATGGCAAAACGACTGGGGCCGCAGTCTATCAGCGTCAGGTATAGTTGATGTCCGAAATGAGTTACATCCACCTCAACCCTGTGCCAATTTTCCGCGACATCAAGCCTGCCCGGTTTCCAACGCACAGGGGCCGGGTCGATTGACTGGCATTCCTTGCATCTCCTAACCACCGCTCGCACCTCAGCTTTTGTTACTCTTGGGTTGATCAACTTCACAAAATAGAGTGTTCTCTTCCCACCAGGATGCCCGCTGGATTGATAAATGGCTCGTTCTTGAGAAACATCTCGCTCTTCAGCCACAGCGCACATAGGTTCTCTGGGTTCCGTTATTTTGCGCATTTCATTTAACCATCGCTGCGGTACTCTAGTAAGTTGGTCGGCTCGATTGTTGCACGACTTGACAAGCTCTACATCAATGTCCAGCTCGTATTCTAAGACCAACTCTTAGAGTGTGGCTAGCCGACGTCTGATTAGCATCTCGGAGTCTGCCTTGGTGCGCACTCTCGTCCGTCCAGACAGAGTGTCAGCTACCTAGCGATGCACACATGCTGAGTCTGTCTGTAAATGAATGGTTTTGGCCTTCCATTGTAATGCAAGGTTGACACCTCGCAACACAGCATCGAGCTCAGCCAAGTTGATGTGCTTGTCTTCGTGCACCGGTCGGAGCCAGCTTGCGTCTTCTGCCACGGCGCCATTGCTCTCCACAACCACACCGGTGGCTAAGGAGCTTGCATCTACCCACACGGTTACATTTTGTTCACCGATGCACCAGTTACCTTTCACTGGATCGTCCTGGGCTAGTCTCTTAAAAATGTCGTCGATCATCTGGGCTAGAAAAGGGTGCTGCACTTCATCGTCCCATCCAGTGGTAACAGTGTTTGCCCTCCGCTTCACACATGCTGTGGCGACACGTAACCAACCGCATACAGGAAAATGACAAGTCAACTTTCCGCACAACAAGAAGACAATTCGGCGGGTAAGTTTATCGGGGACTGCCGGAAGTTCACATCCACGACGCCATCGCAGTTTTCTTTGCTCCTCCCAGACATGCAATCCCAACACGCGTGCGCCAATTCTTAGCCGCTCCGGGGTTTTACTTGACAGACCAAACTGCTCCAAATGTTCCCTGACGCGGACCACAGAACACATACTCTCATTAACAAAAACGTCGTCAATATAAGAGGAGGAAGCTGCGTTGACGATCTCGTCCTGGCTCAAGACGGTATTAACAATGGCCCGCATAATTAGAGGGGCAACATTGAGCCCAAATCCTAAGCGGGTTAGACAATATCTTTGTCCCTTAATCTCCACTGTTTGGAATGGCCAAAGGGACTTGTCGATGTGTACCTGCAGATAGGCCCGGCATAGGTCCAGCACTGCAGCATTTGGGCTTGCTGACGCCATTCCCGTAATTTTTGCGAACAAACATCTGCGTTGGCCGCGTACGCATCAACGTATTTATTGAGTTCCCGATAGTCCATAACGGGCCGAAACTTTTGTTTGTTTTCCTGCAGAATGGCCATGAGGGGGATTAAACCCTTTGGGGGTCCGAGTTCCTCCTCCGGGTAAGGAAGCAGCCAGTCGTTATCTATCCAAATCTGGCGTTCCCGATCATACTCCTACCGAATTTGTGCAGGAGCTGGATATTCTGCCAGTCTATTTCTTAACGTACCCGGATGTTGGTTGCCAGCCCATTTCCAGGATGCGGTCCACCTCCGAGTGGTCTCATCGAATTCTACTTTAAAGTCGGGCTCGGTAATGGTGATGGCAGCAAACGACTGGTTCAACACACTGCGGAAACTTCACATCACCGGTGCCAGTTACAGATATTCCTCCCAACTGTTTGATGGCGTGTAGTCCGAGCAGGAAGTCAAATCCAAGCAGGTCTCCGTCATCGACTAGGGCTTCCATAGCGATGGACGGTTTGCACCAACGCTAACTTGTACCACTCCGATTCCACAGCAGTCAAGTGCGCCTCCATCTACTGTAAGCACGCGTGTTTATTTTCTTGTCCATGCACGACAGCATGACTTGCGGACTAGTGACTGTGTGCATCCTGTATCCACCAGAGCTGTACGTGGTATTCCATTGATATGAACTGTCACTACAGGCAATGCGCCATTTACAAGGGTTTTGGGGAGGAGATTGGCGCTGAACTCTCGCCCCCTTGCCCGTTTCCCGGACAACACCGAGCAATGTGCCCTTGCCGATGACATCGATAGCAAGTGATGGTCCATCGGTGCTTGGTACCAGCACCTTTGGATGGTTCCCGACCCAGGAGACAATCGCTCGCCCTATGATTGAGTCCATCGTATTTATAGCACCTCGTGTGCACATCTGTTTCCTTCAACTGTGCAGCCAATGCGGCCTGCTCCGTAGGACCAGTGCACTTCTTCAAAATAGCGCGATCTTGTGCCAGCACATGTGACAAATCCAGGTCTTCCATCTGAGATGACGCTCTTAAAAGCTCCTCTGCATGCTCAGGAAATACAGCAACGAATGCACACTGCAAACACTTTTCTGATACGCCACCAAACAGAACCGCGAGTCTGCGCAGTTCTGCCAAAAAGACTTCGACCGTCTCCCCTGGCTGAAGACGACGTGCTGCAAACTGCTTCCACGCGGAGAAGGGATCTAAGGCAAAAGCTGTGAATAACGCTTTCTTAACGCAATTGAAGTCTGCGCGCTTCTCCTCACTCAAATGCTGGTACACAGCATATGCGCCACCTGTCAAACGCATTGGATAACACACTCAATTTGCTTCACACCGCTCAACTGACATATTAGTTCCGCCTTCTCCAACCATTCCACTACCGACTGTCCAGAATCGCTTCCGTCGAACAGTGGTATCAGCTTCGGGTCGAAGGCCATAATGCCGAAATAGCTTGTGCGAGAAAAAAAAAACAACTTGCGACACAAAAAACGAACGCCTTCTTCAGGCACAAAAACGAACGCCTTCTTGCGACACAAACACGAACGCCTTCTTGTGACACAAAAACGAACGCTTTCTTGCGACACAACAACGAACGCCTTCTTGCGAGCCAAAAACGAATGCGACACAAAAACGAACGCCTACTTGAGACACAACACTTTACGGCAGCCAACAAGCAAAACGGCACCCAAGACTGCTGCCGACGGACGACCGACCGCAACGGCTTTTGTCGCTCAAGAAAAGACGCCAAACGACTCGCGCGTCTTCTTCTTATAGTTCTCGGTCAAGTCCATTATGGTACTCCAAGGTGCGCCCGGCGACAACACACACAAACAGTTCGAGGACGTTTCCGCGCATGCTCGTTACATACACGGTAGCAGTAATCGACTGGCACACGTAGTCACAGGTGATAGGTGTAGACCAATAGGATTAGCTAATGGCGTATTCCAATGGGCGTCGTCATAGACTTAAACTCTGTCGTACCTACACATCCGTCTGTATTTATGACGGACACCAACCAATCATACTCCAGTGAGGGGGAACACAGGTGTATTCATATTCCATTATATCAATATATATATATATATATATATATATATATATATATATATATATATATATAGCATTTACCTTGATAAAATCCCTTAGCGGACGAAATGAGTCGACAAAGATAGGTATTATTCTTTTATGTATATTCATATTCACTACTGTTCAAAAGTTCAAGGCCACGCATGATACTTTTTAAAATTGAACCCAAAATTCTTTGTTTTGTACTTTAATAACGGAAAATTATTATACATAGTTAAATAAAGTGAGAAAGTATTTGTTATTTGAAATATCATTATGACAAAAAGAAAAAACAAAAAAGATTTCATGAGTAAATTTTGCTCTCGTTAAAATATCCTCATTTAGTCTTGATTACTGCAGCACAAATTTTTGTGCATTCATTGTGTAAGTTTCATAATTGATTCTATTCTTTTTTCAGTGACTCTAAGATAAGGGTGGGCAATATGCTTTCCTTTTCTCTTCTTTCATTTTTATCATTATTTTATGTATTTTTATTTTCGTCACTTTACACATTGTGCAGAATATCACGATCAGCTAAGAAACTATGTTATTCAAATGAAGAGGGTATTAGAAAATTTTAAGAATACTTGTCTGAAAATTTTGGCATCATTAAGAAAGACAGTAAAGCCTTATGCATTTTCTCTTCTGGAACAATCGTTTGTTGGATATCTGTAAATAACCATCTTGAAATTGTTCAGAAGAACAGAAGTAATAAGTATGAGGATGAAGAAAGAGAATTAAAAGAAATACTAAAAGATCAAGTTGATATTTTTACGAACTTTATTTCGGACAGGCCTATTTCCAAATTATTTGCTGCTAGTTTTGATGTTTCAATAGTTATTGCCCAGCATGGAAAGCTACTCAGTGATAGAAATATATGAAAGAAGCATAACAAGAATGTGAGCCTTTAAGCTTTTCACAATTTTTCAGAAAATGAAAAGATTATTCAGTGCATTAAAAATTTGTCTGTAAGTAGGAAAACAGTTAAAGATAGGATACTTAAGCTGAAAAGGAATACAGTTGAACAACTGACAAAAGATTTGTCTTCATGTCAGTTCTTTTGTTTATTTCTGTTGATGAAAGCACGGGCATTACATCAACAGCTAGGCCAGCCATATTTCATCGATTTTGTATGTGTGATGAAGTATTTGATGAGATGATTACCTTTGTAACACTATCCGAGTGTACTACCGGGGTTGAAATATGTAAAGCAGTTGTGAACGAATTATCTACTCGACAAATTTAAATTTCAAAAGTAGTATCTACTATAACATATGGTGTCCTTAGTATGACTGGTGAGAAGGCAAGATTTGTAAATCTGTTTGCAAAAGATGTTGGTCATCAACTGATAGGTTTTCATTGAATCATCCATGTTGTGTCGGAAACCTACCACCCCTCTTGAAGATGAACTTGTCTGCGTCTGTGAACAAAGACTTTAAATAATGGAAGACAGATAGACTTAGTTCTTAGCTGAGCTAGTTATTGACTACTCAGGCGATTTCTGTACCTTTTTACCAACCTATCTCTACTAACCCCAAAGCAACATCATAACAATCCAAGAGAATGCTTTGTGTGCAAAAGCCGGCCTAGAGGAACTTCATGAAGTGATGCAAACAGCTACCAAAGTTGTTAATGACATTTTTTCTCGAGCTTAAAATAAAAGACAATTTCAAATGTTTCTGAATTAGGTAGGATCTGTAGATGAAGGACTGAAAATGTGAAACAGTGTTCGTTGGCTTAGCTGAGGTTTGGTTCTGAAACGATTTGTTGAAGGCTTCGATGAAATAAAGCTCTTTTTGAATGACCAACGAGTGTCTTACCAAGAATTGTCTAACATCATGTTGGTTTGTAAACTGACGTTTTATGCATATTTTTATGAACATTTAAATAACTTGTATATTAAAGTAGAGGCTCTAGTAATACATTTGATGTTATGTTTGGTTAAGTAAAGGCTATTCAAATGAAAACCTTTTAAGAGGGATATACAAAATGAGAGATTTAGATACTTCCCAAACTTAAATAGGTACATCAATAATCTCCCAAAAGATGACAGAACAGGCCGCCAATGCTTCCAAAAGCTGTTTGGAAACATCGAATCTACAGTTGAGCAGTTCTTTACAAGATTTGATAAAATCAGAGATCTGGAAGAGACAGCGAAATTCATTAAGTTTTCCAGACGGTATCAAAATAGATGAACTAAACTTGTAAATGTTTTCATGGATGAATTTGAAATGCAGTTGATTTAATTTCAGAGTAGCTCAATTTGGAAACAAAAATTTGTTGACTTTAAGAGTTAACTTGGATAATATTGAAAACAATCGAATAGAGATGGGATTATCAGAAAGAAATGTCGAAAACAATGTACAAAGGATTTGGAATACTATTCCAGAAATTTTTATCTTCTTAAAAAGACATGCAACATCATTCGTATCCATGTTCTCATCTACATATGCTTGTGAATCTTTGTTCTCAGTGATGAAATTTGTTACATCTCGTAACAGGAGTAACCAGACGGATGATACTCGTAGTGCATATCACTCAAGGTTAGTCAATATAAACCGGACATAAAATCTCTTTCATTCAGCTGCAGAAGTGCCACTGATAATATATAAAAAAAGTTAACATGTTTTTGTCTCTAGATTTATCCAATATTATCTTTTGAAAGCGGTAGAGTTTCAGGGCTGTTTAAATGTAGTTCTGAAGGTAAATAAATATATCAAGTTTATTTTAGTACATCATTTATAAGGGATTTAAAATCAATAAAAGATTATTTTAATAACCTTTTACTGTGTTTTAGTCATAAAATGTATAATCGGAAAAAAATGATGATTAATTAATCTAAAAAAAAGTAACAGTGTTAACTTTTTGTATTGCTGTTAAGCGTAGTTGATAGTGTCTATAAATTGTTTATCTATAGCAGTTACATTTATACTTACAAGCTAATAGAAAATATAACAAAAGTTTTTTTTTTTCGTAAAAAACCTGTCATATTTTTTTAATTCAGTCAATTTTACACGATTTATATAATTTCTTACAATACTCGTCAATGTGCTCTACCATAGTAAGACATTTTGTCCTAATGATTCTCTCTTATTTGATAGTTTAGTAAGAAATCCCTGTTCGAAAAAAAAATCATGGAAAATTGAATGTCTTTGGCTACATGCGAAGGTGTCACGTCAGGATTCTAATGATGTTGTGGCCGTATCTTTTTGCTTGATATATTGTCTGAACTTGGAATTGTTCTCGCCGTTTCTTTCTCCTGTTCAAAATTTTATTAAAAGCACATCTCCCAAGCCCACTATTTGGTGAGGGCGGAGGATTGACCGTTGATCCCTCCCCACCAGGTCGACGCTTGGACATAAAAGGTAAGCCGTACATTCAGTTACCATCATGAGGAAGAAAGCAGACAAACACTTGCTGCCTCGTGTGAGTATAGTTTCGCTTTAGCAGAAACCCATTTACAGTTTTCTATTTTTTTTTAAATTTATTTTTTTCTCCCCCCCCCACTCGTCAATGTGCTCTACCATAGTAAGACATTTTGTCCCAATGATTCTCCCTTATTTGATAGTTTAGTAAGAAATCCCGGTTCGAAAGAAAAATCAGGAAAAATGGAAAATTGAATGCCTTTGACTAGATGCGATAATAAATCCGGGTAACGTTATTTTCAATTTCTTTTTAGAATAGACAATGGGACTTATACTAAGTTAAAACTTAATGTGATAGGATATAGCCAAGTGTGATCCAAGACTCCCTACCTGTTATCTCCCCCTCCAATCCTTCCCTCTGTTTTGTGTCGTCCTTTTTTGTGTTATCTGTAATAAGGGTAGGTAGTCTCTTCTACCGCCCGGTCAACACTCCTCCTCCTTCCATTGGACATGAGTAGAGGCTTACACATTGTTTCTTGTCTAGGAAGGGACTCCCGGTACTGTTTCTCTCTCCGGCCTCTGTATTAGTGCAGCTCTGTTCCTCCCGTGATGTGTGCAGTCTGTGGCATCACCTCTTCATTCTGAGGGTACACGGTTGACAGTTCTCTGGTTGCTGTTTCCGACTGGTAGTTAGGAGCCCTAACTCTTGCGTAGCGTCTTGAGCGGCTGCTCTGATCAACAGTTGTATAATACCGGGGTGTTTGTAGTGCCATATCGCGCATGGAAAGGTGTCCCTGCAGTCACCTCGGTGGGCAGCCCTGAGGCCACATAATGATGCAGTTTTTGCCAACTCCTCTCTGCCCGCGTCACGTTCGAAACTGTCTGTTTCTTTTACATCGGGCCTTCTCATCTTACAAACAAAATTCAACATGAGTTACAAAAACCGAAAGATTAACCCTAAACCAGCCTCTCAAAAACCACCTAAACCCCTCAACATTTCGTTCTCCAACATCCGGGACATTAGGACCAACTTCTGCAGTCTGGAATCTTTCCTCACTGCAAACGGCCCGAATGTACTGGCTCTCTGTGAGACAAACCTTGTCTCGTCTATCCCCTCTTCTGATCTCTCGATCCCCGGCTATCTTCCTCTCCCCAGAAAAGATTCTCTAACCCACATGCACGGTCTTGGTGTCTACGTCAAGGAACATCTCCCTCTGGCCAGAGAGTCCTCTCTCGAATCGCCTGACCAGTCATACATGTGTCTCCGACTCTCTCTCCTCAATGCGGTAAGCTATCTCTTCTTCCTTTACCGCTCTCCATCCTCTCAAGACTGTGAGATCCTTGATAGCATTTCTGACAGCATAGACAAGGCTCTCTCCCTCCACCCGTTTGCTCACATTTTTGTGTTTGGTGACTTTAACGCCCATCACACCTTGTGGCTTAAAAAATGCGACTACTGACCATGCAGGCATTCAAACGCTTAATTTTCAATCTCCCATTCCCTCACACAGATAGTTAACTTCCCCTCGTTTTTTGCCTTTAACCGGGAATGTAAAGCCTCTCTACTCGACCTGTGCTTTACCTCCATCCCCGAATCCTGCAGCGCCTCGCAACTCTGACCTTTTGGAAACTCTGATCATGCAGTAGTATCTGTTTACATCTCCTTCAACCACACCCCTATAAAGAACCTCCTACCACTAGAACTTCGTTCTATTATCAACAAGCTGACTGGGACGCGTTCCGTGATTTCCTCCGCGATGTCCCCTGGGATGGAGTCTTTAAGCTCCCCGTCCAAAAATGTGCTTCTGAGGTCTCTTCCTGGGTTAAAGCTGGAATCGATGCTTTCATCCCATCAAGGAAATATAGGGTCAAGTCGCGCTCCTCCCCCTGGTTCTCCACTGCTTGCTCAGCCGCCATCGCCCATAGGAACCACTACTTCCACCTATACCGTGGCGACATGTCTGACTGCAATAGACGTCTCTTTGCCTCCGCCCGTAACGAGTGTAAGCGTGTCCTCAACGATGCTAAGTCACTATTTGCGGCTCGGATAAAGGAACGTATTGCATCTCGCAAATTTGGCTCCAAAGATTATTGGCGTCTCTGCAAGAGCGTATTGAACAATTGCAAACCCTCTATACCTTCTTTATTCAACCAGTTTGAAGTCCTGACCTCCTCTACCGACAAGGCTGAATGCTTTGCTCGATAATTTTCATTCAACTCGACGCTTGACTCTTCTGGTGTACCCATACCCGACTTCCCTCTTAGAACTGAGGCCATATTGAGTGGGTTAAACATAACCCCA